GAGGGAATCTGCAGTCTGCTCATGTTGTAGCCGAGTGATGAGAGCACAAAGAGGTTGTCTGAAGTGAGGAGATCTGAGCAGGAAGGAATATCGTTCAGAACGTATCTCTTCAAGTAGTTACTCCTATCCCTGCAAACACTATAGCTCAAGTCATCACAAGGTATTCCCAAGGAGCGGCATAAGTAAGTGCAAAAACGAGGAACGCATGTTTCACAGGGGCAGTCATGTTTATGGGATTTGAATTTTTTATAGGAGGAGACAGAGCAGACACCAAAGGCGCTCGGGATTGGGTAATCCTCTGCAGCCGGCGAAGACCAAGCCCCACTAATGCCCACTATGCTATCCCTCCAACCCTTTTCAGATTTTATTGTGTCAGTGCATATGGACATCTTCTCGAACGGGTAGAGGTGGTAGAAGGGCTCGTTAGTACGGATCTTACTGACCTTATAGCACAGAAGGAGGTCTATGAGGTCGAGATCCAGATTTCTGTCACGCATCAATAAGAGCATAACAGATATGATCCTAAAGAAGTTGGGGTTGACCTGCAGAGGGGATATCCCCAATCTATTGAAGACATAACTAAAGAAAGGGTGCAGAGGGAACCTAACAACATTCAATTGAAGGTTCGTGAATAAGACTTCGCCGGGCAGGAGGCCGGCGCCGGTCGTAATATTAACGTCTTGGGGGCAAACCCTAACTTCGATGTTGTCAGGAAGTCTAAGTCTCATACGAAGAACATCTAGATCTACAACCATGGTGGAAATGCTAGAAGAATCTAAAAGAGGGAAAATGGAAGCCTGCCGAAAGTAAAAAGAACGAAACTAACCTCGGAGGACTGCAAGATCGCTGGAAGAATGACTCTCGAAGGATTTCACCGGAAAAGGCTTAGCACTGTTCTAGAAAGAGAGAGACTTGGCTGATGATGGAGACGGTAAAGGGAAGTGAAGTGGAATTCTAGAGCATTATAAAGGCGAGGGGGCCCGAGGGCCGAAGCGTCGGGAAGGCAAGAAATCCCTCGAGCCCCGGAACATTGATTCTGGATCTGACCGTCCGCTCCCCCACGTGGTTATCTCGAGCCGTCAGCGTCATGATGAGACGCCATCAATAATTACCCCTTATTAAATAAGGGGCAATTATGGGGGCAGTTGAGGAGGCCCCGGATGACATGGGCCAGGTCCGACTCGCAAAACACAACCTTCAGTCCGAACAGCTGGGTCAGCCCATAGAAAAACGCTGCCATGTGGGCCGAGCGGGAGTAAGCCCATCAAGGGTGACTAGGGCTTACAGAGGAATAGGTCCAGGTCCAGCAATCAGAAAATATCTTGCAAATATCTTGTAAATATCTTGTAAGTATCTATAAATAGGAGTTGGAATGAAGAGGAGAGGGATCTTTCCGGGTTGAGGTGTAAGAATTCTAGAGAGAGAAAGATAGAAGGAGTTTCTTGCATCTTCACCAACTGTGCATGCTACGTGAAGTGGCAACGCCTATCAATTACAGTATATGTCACTATTGTCATACAAGGACAAAATTAATCCTTGAGAGAAATTTATGACTATATTTTAGTATTTAATTAGGGTGTTATTATATTAATACGTTATTGGTATCACTGTCGTATTTTTTTTTTTTTTTCCCCACTCATTTTCTCTACTAACGCTTTAGCTAGTTATGAGCAGGGACAGGCCTATCAAGAGCTTAAGTTCAGGCATTCGCCCAATTATATAATTATCTATAGTTTTATTTAAAATTTTAAAAATACCTTCACTAATTTTTTAAAAATACCCACTATATATTATTGCTCCACTCAGTGGCAGACCCAAAAATTTTGTTTGAGTCTTTTGGGATATAAAAATAATAAATATAAATTATTTATTATATATATATATATAATAAATAAATATATATATATATATATATATATATGTATTTTGTCTTATCAGACAATGTGCGGAACTGTATCCAATATGTGTAGGTGTGAGACTTGGATTTTTTACCTTTTAATTATGTCCAAGATATGTAGATTACCATTAGAAAGTAAATAAGCAGAAAATATAATTTTTTTTATTTTTTTATTCTAAAAAATATTAGTGAATGCAAAAATACATAGTTGGTATTTAAAAAGAAAATTGAGTGAGAATATGAGTGGGAGAGATAAAATTGATTATCATAAATGTGGAGAACCCTAAAGAATGATGAAAAAGAGATGAACATTTTTATCCAGAAAAAAGTGGTTGTGGGCAAGAATGTAAAATGTGATATTTTTACAAATTAAATATGGGCATTTATTTTATAACCTTGAACAAAAGATATAAATAATAATTATTAGAATATATTCTATAATATATTATTATCATGTATTGTTAGAATATGGTAATGATATATTATAGAAGTGGAATTTAAACAATTAGGAGAAGTGCTCGAACACTTCAACTATGTTTGAGAGTATTGAATCGCAGTTTTAGAATTAGAATTGAAGAAATTAAATTTTGTTCAAATTGGTGCACTAACAAATTGCAGTGAATAAATTCTGCGGACCTTTCACTGGTCCTTCAAATGAGCCAGACCACAACACTCCACATGGATAAATGAAAGAGAAGTAAGCAAATTATGGTGCTCCATTTAGGTGTTTTTTTGGGTATTGTGGTTCTTTCTGAAAGAGAGCAAGCAAAGAGAATTGTGAAGCAGAAGGAAGAAATTAAATTAAAAATACACATAAGAAATGTCAAGAGAAAGAGAGCACTAGAAAGATTAAAAATAAATTTTAAAAAAATAAAATAAAATATTGAGGCTAAAGACTAAATGGGTACTTTCTTAAAAAAAAGAAGGAAGAAAATTAAGTACATGTCCAGGTTGAGCCCCATGAAAATCTGTCCCTAATCAGGTCACTTTTTCTTAGTCCAAGTGGCACATTCAAATTAAAGGTTGGATTCATATTGGAATAATAGTGAGTGGGTGTGACTGGTCAAGGAAAAATAAAAATAAAAAATATTTAATTTATTGGTTTGACTTACTAATTTTGCATGTGTCCTTTTACACAAATATATTCTTTTTAGGGCACTAGTGTGTGGCTCACTATGAGCTTTTCCATGTCAATGTCGATCATGTTGATCGCGTAATGAGGATGAGGGCTCGACCAAGTTGGTATGAGTGGCTCTTGACCTTAAAGGATTTAATACTCTCACTGCTTGCAACATTGCAATGTTCACAATTTATTTGTACTGCTTACTAAAGCGAGCACATGCATGTTGTTAAATTCATCCAAAATAGTACAATCGCGACCCATTTGCTCAAAAATTAATTAAAATATTGTACCAAGTTTTTATTTGAATTCATATAAATAGTCAAATATTGTACCAAGTTTTTATTTGAATTAATTTGCCATTACACGTATTCGTTACAATAGTCAAATAAGCAAGTAATGCACTAAATCAGAGACAACTAAAAGTTGTAACTTAATACGTAGTAACATCTTTTCTATCTTTTACAGTGAAATAACAATTACTACGTAATATTTACAATATATGGCATGAACAAAATGGTAGAATGTTCAGAAACAATTTCGAGGAACAACTCATCTTGTCATTTGTTGCTTCTATCTCTAGAACTCTTGCTTCACGTGCAACAAGCATTCGGGGACTTCTTCTAAGAGCCAAGAGAGGAAAAAGCATAAGGGTAACTCTTCTCATCCTATAAGTGCTAGCAAGCAGGACATTTTAAGGTGGACTGCCCTTGGGGTTGACCCAATTTCGGAGATTGTTTGAAGTGTGGCCAACCGGATCATAGAATAAAGGATTATCCCAAAAGGGGTGGGACAACAGCTGGTGGTATGGATTTACAACAGGGATGTTGTTGAATCACAGGGACGGGGACTTAGGATCGTGATTATACAGTCACTCTAGTTGCTGCTCTAAATGAGACACTAATTGGACCATCTGTGATTAGAGGTATATTTCTTGTACTGTCTTCAAGCCTTGGTGTTAGTTGTTTTCCTGTAGTAATTATTAACCTAATAATTAACGGAGATGATAATAGTGGTAGTAAGAATGTTTGAGCCATTATTTGAAGGAATAATGTGACTCGAGTGTCCGGTTAGATATCAACGACTTAACCATTATTTGAAGCCGACGTTGGGAAAATGATTTGAGCGTTTGGTGATGTGACCACGATTTCGTTTTTTTTTTTTTTTTTTACTTTCGATCTTGGAGTTTGTCAAAGTGGCATTGCTAGGTATAATTCTTATCCTTGTAAGTGGGTTTTTTACTGTTATGTTGGGTTCCGAGAGTGATGTATACTCTCAAGGCATGTGATAGCGTCATCTTAGAGAGTTTGGAGGCAAGTTTGGCTCGTAGAGTTTCGTTGTTCCTACATAAGATAGGAGGTTCAACAAAAGAAGTTTGGCTAGTAAAATAAAATTTAATTACTATTTCTTTTTTTGGGTAAGAAAGAAAATTTTTAATTACTATTTGAGGATATCATATATATATATATATAAACCTCAATTTTTTAATTCACATTAACTTAGATCCAAAAGTAAAGGAGGAAAAAAGAAAATATATATGATTCTTGTATTTTAAAAAATTATATCTTAATTACTCTTTCTAGATAATTTGAAATTGTTACTGCTTTTTTTTTCACCCCCTTCCTCTCAGTGCAACTCCTCTGTAATTCTAGCTAACACCTTAGGTAGGTGGGTAGTATGTCATGGGCTGGGCCCTCCTTGGGCCAGTTCATTTGGGTTTTCGGGCTTAGAATGTTGTTTCCCTCTAGTGGGCCTGGGTATGCTATGAGCTCCAGTTTCTGCAACTGTAATATTCTTTTGGGCCTGGAGAACATGGTTTTTTATGTTTTGGATTGGGCATCTTTTGACCGATGTAGGATTTCTTTTTGCTGTTTTGTAATGGGCTACTGGCCCAATCTCACTTGATTACCAGAATTTAAAAAAAAAAAAAAAAAAACCTAACAGTTATATAAAGAGAAGAGAAGCAAAGTGAAAGCCCAACTATAAATCACAACAAAAAAGGTCCATATTGTACTTGAAAATACCACATAACACACTAAAAAAAGGTGCAGTCATGTAACACACTAACACACAACTCCAACCCTTATTAATTAATTACGCATGCACTTCGTTTGTAAAGTAAACCTTCACACCCTCCAAATACAAGCGAACACACACATCTAGCTGTGTATTTTTATATGTAACCCAACATATATAAGACATATATATAAGCTGCTACACCATGCAAGAACACCTCTAGTAATGGCGATTATGGTCCTCATAGTGGTCATGGTCTCCAGAAAGCTTCTCCTTGATCTTCTCCATGAAACCTCTCTTCCCACGCGTGCGGTGAACCGGGTTGCCATACTCATCAGTTTGGTGAACCGGGTTTCCATACTCGTCAGTTTGGCGAACCGGGCTTCCATACTCGTCAGTTTGGCGAACCGGGCTTCCATACTGGTCAGTTTGGCGAACCGGGTTTCCATACGCATCAGTTTGGCGAACCGGGTTTCCATACGCATCAGTTTCTAAAATCGGGTCCCCGTGTCGATTATGTTGGCGAACCGGGTACGCACCTGTGGTACAAGTTGCTCCGGTGCCGGTGCCATAGGCTCCGGTGGTTCCATAGTCTCCCATGGTACCCGTGTAGTGAACCGGGTTGCCATACTCATCAGTTTGGCGAAGGCGAACCGGGTTTCCATACTCATCAGTTTTTGAAACCCGGTCTCCGTGTACATTAGGTTGGCGAACCGTGTACGCACCTGTGCTACCAGTTGCTCCGGAGCCGGTGCCATAGGCTCCGGTGGCACCAGTGGTTCCATAGTCTCCCATGGTACCTGTGTAGTGAACCGGGCTGCCATACTCATCAGTTTGGCGAAGGCAAACCGGGTTTCCATACTCATCAGTTTCTAAAACCGTGTCTCCGTGTACATTAGGTTGGCGAACCGGGTACGCACCTGTGGTACCAGTTGCTCCGGTGCCGGTGCCATAGGCTCCGGTGGCCCCAGTGGATTCATAGTCTCCCATGGTACCCGTGTGGTGAACCGGGTTGCCATACTCGTCAGTTCGGCGATGGCGAACCGGGTTTCCATACGCATCAGTTTGGCGACCCGGGTGTCCATGTACATTAGTTTGGCGAACCCGGTTGGGGTCCGGTTGGTTGCCATAGTACTTGTCTCCGTAATTTGCCATACCTTCAACCCTAAAATTAAACTGAAAAACTCAGCAGAGAGTCAGAGACTCGGAAAAAAAATTGTTGAACACAGGTTTATAACTATCCTTTGCTTGGATGGATGGGTGTGTGGTATAATTGTATATGAGGACGAGTTTATATAGGAAGTCAAAGTGGGTATAGGAGGTCAAGCTGGATGCCACGTCATCGGTACACGTTTTGTGAAGATTAGTGACATTGGAGGTTAACGTGGCAGTGTTACTGGAAGGGTGGTGTCGGTAGAAGATAAGACTGATTAATTATCTTTTTACAAATGAGTAGACGCGCACCCTAATTTCAGCCGTAGGAAAATAGTGTTTAACATTTAGAAAAATTGAAAACATAATTTTGAAAGAAAATAAAAGTCTAGTATGAAGAAGAAGTATCAGACAATATATATATATATATATGTGTGTGGGGGAGAAACCAAGGTTGATTTAAAGATGATACCTATGGATAAATAAATAAATAAATAAATTTATTTAAATAATTCGGATGAATATCGCATGTAAAGACTCGTTTCAATTTTAATCGAAGGTTTGAAAGACCTAAAACATGAAGAAGATTAAATTTCTCAGGCAAAAATGCTCTTATAAATGAATAGCCTGTAATGTTAAAAGTGTTGGAAACAAATATTGAGCCTCATAAAACTAGAGAACAGAAACAGGTAAATGTGGATACAACTTCAAACATTGAAAATCTGGAAGAAATCAATGACAGGGTTTTTCAATTTTTTCACACCCAGTTCAAAGCCGTCCTCTCCGTCATCTGTTGCTCTCCGCCGCCGGTAACAACAGACCCACCTCTTACCGGTTCCTTCCTTTGCCGCCTTGCCAACTCGCCGACCAACTCTCGATCTGGTCCTCACACGCAACCAATCTCTGGTCCTTCACTTCACCGGACATCGAGAAATCCCCATGGTCGCCGTTCTGAAACTCATCGAGAAATCCCCATGGTCTCTGGTCCTCCACTCTTCTCTGACCTTTTCTTCTTCTTCTATTAGGACGTCGCCTCCTTTAGCAGCTTCTCCGCAGCTGTCTTCTTCTCGGCCTTGGGAACCATTTTAGAGAGAGAAAAAAGTGATATGAGAGTTAACCATGAGAGAGAGAGAGAGAGAGTTGGGTTAAAGAGACAAAACGTAATGAGAAGAGAGAGAAAATGAGGCTTTTATTTTCCTTCTTGTTTTGGGTGGTCGAGCTTAAACGAGGACATGGATGTATGTGTGTCATTCCTGTCTGAGTAAATTTATGTGTACATATATATAATATGTATTTGTTTTAAAAGTAAGTATATAATTTTTTGGGATTATTACATATAAATGAGGTTAGGGCACTATATTTACTTATAGGCTAAGTCAAAGTCTTAAAGTTTCTCTAAAATGTGTTTAACTCAAAGTTTCTCTAAAATGTGTTTAACCCAAAGGCTGAGGTGGCACATGAAAAAATACTGTTTCATATTTCTGTTGCCTAAAGTACCCTTCTTCCTATTTTATGTATTGCCTAAAATACCCTTTTGTACACTTACTAATTCCTCTTTTCCCATTCCATTCGTGCCGACCTCTCTCTCCCCCCTTCTCTGTAAACAGCAGCGATCAACAATCCTTTAACCATTTCCGTGCCTTTCGTGACAAATTGGATTACTGATATAATCCAATTGTAGTGTTATATGTGTTTCTATATATGTAAATCTATATATATATGTGGGTGTGTGTGTGTGTGATTGATTGTTTGCGTGTATACAGACTCACAGACACACTACAAGACTGATGGTGGTTGATTTATCGTGCCATTTGAGTGTTGAAGTTTCTTATCACATCCGCTCATGTAAGCATATTTCATTTTAATTTCTTTGGCTGAAATTTCATTTGTAAATTCTGAAACAAAATCAGAAAAGCTTGAACCCTAACAGATATGTGTGAGTATATGTTGGAGTTCCTTTCGTGAATCATAAATTGATTTTCTTTTTCTCAAAATCATAAATTCCTTTGATTGTTTGAATTCAAAAGCCACTTTATATTGTTGTCATTTAGGTTTTCTTCTACTTTTTCCCCCCTTGAAGAAGCCTACTGATTTAAAGTGATTTTTGTATTGCATGTGTTTGTACAAATGATACAATGAAAAAATGCCATGACAATGATCTTGTGAGGTGGCCATATCTAAAAGCAAGGTTATAAAGTCACAAAATTAAGTTTTCTCGCTGATTAAAGTTTGCATGATTAAATTAGTTGGTGAACTTAGATATTTGGTAGATGGTATAAGCTTTTTGGGCTTCTTGGACCAGAAAGAGTGGGAGATTTTTTGCATGCTAGTTGTTTTATCTTCTGTTTTACTCTTGGTCTTGGTCAAAGAGGTACCTGGGCCCTCGCTTGCCTTTTTTTTTGGTATCTCTGATGCTTGATTCTTTAAGTGATTTGATGGCAAATTTAGCTGCTGCAACTTCTATTGGAACTCGTCATCATCGCAAAAATCATCACTATGATTCATTAGCGCATGAGGATCTAATTCCTGGTTTTTGCAAATTCTATTACGTGACCTAGGAATGTTCCAGTTTTTCTGTAGGAATTCTTTGTTGGTGAATTTTTTTCAAGTCTTACCCCTAGTTTCTAGTTTTGCTTTCCTATCTTTGTGGTTTTTCATACTGGAAGAGTTTTGATCATAGTTTTACCCCCTAATCTCTAGTTTTACAATTGCGTTGCTGTTCATTTTTTTTCCTCTATAATCAATGCTTTTCTAAGTGGGCAAGAAATAATAGTGAAAAGTGTCTCTATTTAGAACTTAACCTACAATTTTTTTCTTTAAAGCATTGCTGATATCAAAATAGACCATATATGCCAATGATTCTTGAATATCTTCTGAATATAAGCAAAGATCATTTATTTTTCTTTTTTCGAACCTTTTGATCTGATTTCTCCATACAACTCATGTTTCTATATTTGTAGATCTATTAATATAATCAATCTAGGTTTTTTTTTTTTTGTTCTTCAGGTTTGTTTATGTGAGTATATAATATGACTTTGTTCTTTTGAGATCTCTGCTCGTCCATTATTTTTTGTTGCTTTTTTTTTTTTTTGTCCCCCCATCTTGGTTCCTCTGTTTTTTTTTATTTTTCTTTTTTATTTGATAAGTCATGTTGATGGTGTTGGATAAACATTAGATGGATATAAAATGAGTGGTGGAATGGAGATTTAAATCTTTTGTCAATATGAATATATGATTGATCCTATTCTAGGTTGTACAACAATGGAAAAGAGTAATCATGTCATTTTTTTGTTTCATTTTTGCTTCTTCAGTTTCCATGAAATCTTTTCTGGCAACCTCTCCTAATATTTCTGAGAAATTAATGGTTATGTGAAGGCTTGGGATGAAAAGAAGGTCGAGTTGGGAACTCCATCACAAAAATGTTTCCTTCCCTTTCTCATCGGCATGCCAAACTGGTAAATTTTGATTCGACTTATTCCCCATTAAATATTTAATCTTATTTATATTGTATCTTTTTTGGAGGCTCGAGAAGGGATTCATCAGCTCCAAATATTCAAATTTGGGCCAGCAGTTAGCAAATTGTTTATAGCCTTCTCACCATGGCTTTAGGTAAGTCTAAGATAATTAATTTCTAATTTGTTTATGGTTTACTGTAGTCAATACGGTTTTAGTTTACTGTAGTCAGTCTAATATGTTTAATTCAAAACTTGTTAAACAAGGGGTGAAAAAGACTTCTACCACTGCACTACAAGAAAAATGACTTGAAATCTTCTACAACATTGCAAGATTATAATTCAAACAATGGAAACCAATAGCCAAAAACTAAGAGCAGCAACTTTAAAGACTAGTGCTGTTATTTTAACCAAAATCTGGAGTAAATAGGAGAAGAGTAGAAGCAAAGAAAATAATAATAATATAAAGGGCAGCAACTTCTTACTCCTCTGCAAAAGCTAGCCCGGTCCAATTTTTAGTTTTCTCTCTCCCGGTTCAAGCTCTGTTTTTCTTCCTATCTCCCTGCTCAATCTCTTGAAATGGGCACGTCGTCAAAATCAGAAAATCTGGTTGTTGAAACAGAGTTTGTTGAAAATTTGTAGGGATGAATCCTATTTAAACTCCACTAATTCAACCATAAAATCCCAACCATAACATCAGAAAGAAAGTAAAAAAAAATTAATAGCTTAGTTAAAATCTGGTGAAACATGACCAAGAAATCTGGAACTTAAAAGCTTAACAAGAAATCTGAAACTTAAAAGCTCTTGGGTTGATCAAAGCTGACCCAAGTTTTAAAAAATTCAGTTTTCAAATTTGGTCCAAATGTGAACGACTAATTTAAGCCAAAAGATAAAATTGGCTTTTGAATTCCAAAATAAAACCCTTTGTGACAGTGGTAATCTACATAATGTTATTAATCACTGCAACAAAAAAGTAAATTGTCTTTCTGCGAATTGTAATTAAACAATCAACCATATAACGAAATTTTCAAAATAAAAATCCAATTCTGCCAACCACAAAAACGAATTTGACAATCAATATATCATTTGCTTTTCCTTTCTTTCAATTTCTCAGTAATCAAACAGTGGGGGCATGAGCAATACAACTTTTCAGCTTAATCACCTTCTCTGTTTTTACTTTCCCAATCTCAATGTAAAGCAAGCGCACAAAGTAGAAGAATTAAAAATAAAAAAAAAATAAAAAATCATTTTTTCATAGATTTCTCAACCTTAAGCCAGTATACCAGTTTTACCGTTGCTTGTAAACACCTCATCTTTAGATAACCAAAACCAAAATGTTGATTCTAGTACATAATTGGTGTAAGACTCTGGTGGATAACTATTTTGGAACCCCATGTTTCCTGGTTGTTGTTGTCAAACTTTTCATATATGCATGTTATTGGCATTGTCTCATGCTGGTAATGACTGCACACCGATCAGCCACCAAAGGATTATGCCGTTTGCTATATTCAATAAAAAAAGTTATTTCTATTGCAAAGTTTGTGAAACATGAACATTAACCCGTAGTCTAGAGTGGCCAGAGGCCAATTTCTTGTCTATACTCAAAACTAAACTTTTATTTTTTTACAGTTCTACTGCTGGTTCAAGTAAAACCTCACTTTCTTATGCCTTTTTTCTCGTTTTTCATTGCAGTTTGGTGAGGTGGATATTGAGGGTTCATTGGTTGCTAGTATTATTTTAAACAAGGTATATTAGATTTCTTCTCAATAATCAGGAACTATACCTGACTTATTATGACTTCCTTTGGAATTCAATGAATTCTTTTTCTACTATCTTTATGCTCTTCATTGTATAATGTTGGCAGATAGATTTGGTGACTGAGGCTGACTTGGAGGTGTTCACAAAGCGAATTCAGGTAGGCTTTCACCTTGTACATAGATAGATTTTACTTGTATCTTTGAAATGTGGCTACTCATTGAATTGGGAGGGTTAGAGGTGTTTTTAGACTGTGCCAAGAGAAACTGAACTTGTATGAATATGGAAAGTGGTAAAACGGTTGTTGGCATTTTTATATCTATTTGATTCCGGCACAATAATCGATTCTTTGAAGTTTAGGCACTTCTTTGGTTAGTTCAGCTGTGGGTTTTGTTGTTGCCTTTTGACAAGCCAAATTTAACTTTAGTCTGGTTTTGATATATATTTTTCTATATTAATGTTATGGTCAACTGGTCTACTGAAAATTGCATTATGTGAAATTTCTTATTTTAAAATTTATGAACACAAAAAGTAATTACAATATTTTACACAATAGGTATCTGTTTGTGCAGTCAATGGGGTATAGAATTAAAAAAATAGAAATGAAAATTTAAGAATGCATTTGAAGCTTACATGTCTATAACAAACTAGGGTTAATACTGAAAGTGCTCAATAGATTCAATTATTCAACTTATTCATGTAATAGTTTATGGTATAGCCTTATGTTAGTATGTTGCTTAATTTGTCATATATGTTCTACTGGTATAGTTTTATGTTAAATGAACAGTGAATTCTCTTTCATCTTTCCTTGGCATGCTATTGATTCTGCAGCTTTTGGATTTTTGGTGCACTTTTGTCAGCATATCAATGGGATGACACAGTTAAAGCTGGCTAAATATGGCGTTGTCGACATGGACTTTGTTTTGGGAGTGGGCGGCTATGATCTAGATAGGTGATTCAGAGTTTTTTGCTTTTTTTATAGTATTTTTTCCCCTATTTGTGGTTAGAAAATACAAATGGCGCTGCATATCCATATCATAAGTGGTATTGGGTAATATCATATTCCATGACGTTTGAACATGCCATTCGTTTTGCAGAATTGATTTAGAGGTTCAGTTGGATAGTTCTCATTGTGAATCCCATCAGTGTTGTTAAAGGCGCGCCTAGGCTCGAGGCTCAGGTTTAGCGCTTGTTGCCACCCCAGGCTCACTGATGTTGGAAATGAGAAGGACCGGATCGAGGTGAAGATGAGAAACGGTGTACAGAAGATGGTCATTTCCAAATGGAAAGGCATCACCACCATCAAAATCAACAACTGAGCTTCCATCGCTGTCCTTCCGAGCTCATCTATGTTCATCCTGTTTGCTTAATTCTTTTTTAGGGTTTGTTCATTGATCGATTGATCTCTTTTGATTTCACTATGTTCTGGTTTTTGAAGCTTTGAAAAATGTTGATGCTCTATGTAGTTGATGGATCTTTTGTTTGAGGGTTCCCAAATCCCAACTGAAAAATGTTGATGCTTTGTGTGTGCACCACAAATTTCTGTGTAGAAACATGCCAAACGGGAGAATACAAAATTCTCTTTCTAATTTCTGAACTTATACGACATCATAGCTTTGAATCTTTTGCTAATGGAAATTGTCTAACATGTCAGCTTGAGGAAGAAAATTTCATTTGGAAAGAGAATGCTACTATTATCTCATAGTCGAGTCGGGTCACTAATACCATGAACACCCAAACTGAAAAACAGCAAATTACAATTTCCAATGCATTTAAAAGAAATTAGTCTTGCTTGTGTTCGTGTTTCTAGATAAGATTTCCAAATCAATTAAGCGAAATTTCTGGAGGGACACAGAGCAAAACCAGACCAAGAGCATGAGCATTGGAACCTTGAAAAGCAGTGGCAGGCAAAATGCTAAAATACAGACCATGAAAATTTTAAAAACAACTGATTTACATTGAAGGAACAATAAATAGGTTAACCCACAAAGACTACCTTACAACTTTGGACAAACAGGTTCCAGTCTGGAAGACTACAGGATCTCAAAATAATTACTACACCAAAATTTGCTTTATTAATTGGAGTTCCCGAGCTGGGGTCACAAAGAAAGAGAAAGTAGGGCATATTTCGCTAAAATTACTGCACTAGAATTTGCTTCATTAATTGTTCAATTTCATAAGTAGAGCATATTTCGCTAAAATTTGTTTAGAATTTGTGTAGGCTAAAATACCCTTCTTATCATTTTTAACTTATTTATTTATATTTGGCAACCTTGTTTTCTAAACACTCGCTTAGCTAGCTTGGAGAATATTTTGTGTTATGTATGGTCCTAATGGAGCTGTTTATAGATGTAATGAGCAACCTAATTAGCGGTGTGGGGTTTAATACCATTTTCAATTGCAAAAATAAGTCTCTTTTTCCGAAGGTTCCACTTTTTTTTTTTCCAAAGGTACCATGTTTTTGAACTAAAAGTACCACTTTTTGGTGTCCAGGTACTATGCTTTCTAAACACCCGCTTAGCTAGCTTAGAGAATATTTTGTGTTATTCATAGCCCTAATGGAGCTGTTTATTGATGTAATGTGCAATCTAATTAGCGGTGTAGGGTTTAATACTATTTTCAATTGCAAAATTAAGTCCCTTTTTTTGGCGTCCAGGTACCATGTTTTTTAAACACTCGCTTAGCTAGCTTGGAGAATATTTTGTGTTATTCATGGCCCTAATGTGTAACCTAATTAGCGGTGTGTGGTGTAATACCATTTTCAATTGTAAAAATAAGTCCCTTTTGCGAAGGTACCATTTTTTTTACAAAGGTACCACGTTTTTGAACTAAAGGTACCACTTTTTAGCGTCCAGATACCATATTTTTTAAACACTCCCTTAGATAGCTTGGAGAATATTTTGTGTTATTTATGGCCGTAATGGAGATGTTTATAGATGTAATGTGCAACCTAATTAGCGGTGTGGGGTTTAATACTATTTTCAATTGCAAAAATAAGCCCCTTTTGCGAATGTACCACTTTTTTTTCCGAAGGTACCATGTTTTTGAACTAAAGGTATCACTTTTTGGCGTCCAGGTACCATGTTTTCTAAACACTCGCTTAATTAGCTTGGAGAATATTTTGTGTTATTCATAGCCCTAATGGAGCTGTTTATTGATGTAATGTGCAACCTAATTAGCGGTGTGGGGTTTAATACCATTTTCAATTGCAAAATTAAAACCTTTTTTTTGGCGTCCAGGTATCATGTTTTTTAAACATTCGCTTAGCTAGCTTAGAGAATATTTTGTGTTATTTATGGCCCTAATGGAGCTGTTTATAGATGTAATGTGTAACTTAATTAGCGGTGTGGGGTGTAATACCATTTTCAATTGCAAAAATAAGTCCCTTTTACAAAGGTACTACTTTTTTTCCAAATGTACCATGTTTTTGAACTAAAGGTACTACTTTTTGGCGTCCAGGTACTATGTTTTCTAAACACTTGCTTAGCTAGCTTGGAGAATATTTTGTGTTATTCATGGCCCAAATGGAGTTGTTTATAGATGTAATATGCAACCTAATTAGCGGTGTAGGGTTTAATACCATTTTCAATTGTAAAAATAAGTTCCTTGTTTTGGCGTCCAGGTACCATGTTTTTTAAACACTCGCTTAGTTAGCTTGGAGAATATATTGTGTTATTCATGGCCCTAATGGAGCTATTTATTGATCTAATGTGCAACCTAATTAGCGGTGTGGGGTGTAATACCATTTTTAATTGGAAAAATAAGTCCCTTTGTGAATGTACCGCTTTGTTTCCAAAGGTACCATGTTTTTGAACTAAAGGTACTATTTTTTGGCATCTAGATACTATGTTTTCTAAACACTCGCTTAGCTAGCTTGGAGAATATTTTGTGTTATTCATGACCCTAATAGAGCTGTTTATAGATGTAATGTGCAACCTAATTAGCGGTGTGGGGTTTAATACAATTTTCAATTGCAAAAATAAGTCCCTTTTTTTTGGCGTCCAGGTACCATGTTTTTTAAACACTCGCTTAGCTAGCTTGGAGAATATATTATGTTATTCATGGCCCTAATGGAGCTGTTTATTAATCTAATGTATAACCTAATTAGCGGGGTGTGGTGTAATACCATTTTCAATTGCAAAAATAAGTCCCTTTTGCGACGGTACCACTTTGTTTCCAAAGGTACCACATTTTTGAACTAAAGGTACTACTTTTTGGCGTCCAGGTACCATGTTTTCTAAACACTCGCTTAGCTAGCTTGAAGAATATTTTAGGTTATTTTGCGTTTTTCTTATAGTACATTCATGTAATAGTCAAAGAAAATTCAGTTAGACCCTAGTATAATAAGCTATACAATACTAATTCATGAAAACCCAAAAGAGCAACTTCATTTGATTCCATCGAAGGTAGATGCCAGTATAATAAGCCATACAATATATGATTGCAAAAACATACCAACCTGATCCACAATCAAAAGTTGCAAAAACTACTTCTTTAAAACTTAGAAAATAGCTAACAGCAACAAATTGCAAAATACCAGCAAAAAAAAATGACACTGTTTAACATTACAAATGTCCCATATACCACATCATTTTAAGTACTTTTTGGATTCTGAGATCCTCCTATCCCACTTCCTCTAGTTCTCAATTGGGCAAATACAAGTATGTATTTCTTTGTTCTGTGGTAAACCAATTTGTGGCTTTTTTCCTTTGTGTGGTCCTAGTGAAAGTCCTCTTGTTTGTGTATTTGATGGACATGCATTCTTTCTGTCTCTGTGTGTAGTTGAAACAAAAGAACCACTTTGTCTCTGTGACTGTCACATACAATAAAAATTAAGGTATTACGGCATTGTATAATAATAATAAGGAACAAAAGCAATATAAAAATAGACAATTCGAAACTTTGAATAATAATAATTTTAAAAATAATCATGACACAAATATTCAAATTTAAATGTCAAGTCTTCATTTAAGCTGAGTCTTATGCAGTAGTTCTGCTGCAAAATAGGAACTACATGTTTTAGATTTTATATTACTATAATTATAAATTAAGGAAGGCTATTCTAAGTGTAAAGAAATAAGAAAGTGTGCATCAGAAACAAAGAATTAAAGAAAGAAAATAGAGTTAGCATGCTTAGGAATGCAAGGCTCTCTTCAAACTGGCAAATGTATGCTAAACTGAAAACTACTTCAACCCTTGTTTTCTTTGGATATACTCTTATTGAAACTCAGAATTTGTAATTTGGTGGTTTGACAAATCTCACACATACATGTTACTTTCACAAAATAAGTGTACATGAGTCAAGTTAACTGATGGGAGATATTCTGATGACGTTTTCTTGAGTCTTCGTTCAAGTTTCAAGCTTAAATAATTTATCTTATCATGAATTTATAAATAAGGTCACATCAAATCCAACTTCTAAATATTAATTTTTTTATCTTTCTTAAAGGGCGATAAGAAAATTGAAGACCCAATCAGGGTCATCTCTCCTTTCTGTATTTCGATCAGCAAAAGGAGAAAAGGTTCTGGAAGTGGAAGGGACAATCACCAGCCAACTGGTTCTTCAACATGTGGGAATTTCTACGTGGCCTAGTATATTTTTGTGATAGTTCAACTCTTTAGTATTCAAAATGCTACTTTATATATATATATATATATATATATATATATATATATATATATATATAATTTGATGGAAAAAATGGGTCACGTGACATGGTGAAAGCTTAGACTGCCCACTATAAGGAGACTTTTTTAAGTATGAGATCAGCCATTTCGTAGGCTGTAAACAAGCTAAAAGATAGGTGAAACGTATGAAAAACTTAAATTAACAGGATAATCTGCCAAGGAATGCTCTATGATGTCTCTAATTGCAACAATACCAGAGTCAAGAGCCAATTACAACAATACCTGAAAAAGTAAGAGCTATCCTGAAAAATTTAAGAAGAATCAAGAGAATTTTTGTAATTTTACCGAGATAGTAATAAAATGTTAAAGTGAGAAAAAGTTGTCAAAAGATTTGGAGGGAGTTGCTAGAATTTTAGAGAAACAAATATTTTAAAGAGAACGAAGTATCACAATAAATTTCAGTAGAAGGTACTGACTTTTAAAGAGAGAATAAGAGGATAGACGTATTTTGACATAATTGCTGATATTTTAGAGAGAGAATAAAAGAGTCTAGAGAACATCTCAATAGGAAGAGAGTAACAATTTTAGAGAACTTAGAAAAGGAAAATGGAAATTTTGGAGAAAGGGGGGAAAAAAGAAATTTTAGAGAGAGGTAGTAATGGAGGTGGGAGGGTTATGGAAGTGAATTTGATTGTCATGGTGTGAATATGGGATAGACAATGACAGTTATGCAATTAGGTTTCAGTAAGGTTGATTGTGATGAACTGATGGTTATCTACAGATGTCAGAGTGGTGAGTTTTAATGGAGTTGTTAGCAAACAATTAGGATGGTGGATGGTGGCCATGGTGATGGGGTTTTAACCAGAAATGGAGAAGTGATATTCTGGTGGTGTAGGTAGTTGTCAAAAATA